TAATGTGACCCTCAGCCAAAAGTGGTTTTCATTTCAATCCTACACAACATATTTTTTTTTCGGAATTTTTTGAGTTTTTTTTTTTTTTTTTTTTTTTTTGGCGCTGGGGCTGCCCGGAACCCTGCCCGGAGGTCATGCCCGGCCGGGCACCCGGGCGTGTACCCGGGCAGAAGCTGGATGCCCGGGCGCCCGGGAAAACAGCCTAGTAGATGAAAGCTTTCAAGTCGTTCTTAATCTTTCTTATCATCTTCTTAAGTGTAGCTGGTTAACGGCCTCAGACTTTCCAATATATCATCAGAGTTAATATCATTCTCATTTAATCTTATAAGGGATGCTGGGCCTGTTTCCCGGCATGTCCTGCTCCCCACTTGTGTAATTGATCGGAGCTTTGTTAAAAAAAAGAAAAAAAAGAAATGGTTACGATATGGTCCAACCCTTATGGTGACACGAGGCACAATATCGCACATTGTTTTCACTATGCCCGAGGTAATTTTGTTGCCTTGACCCACACAAGGCGCGGATTGTTGCCACATCCTAAATGTGGTGCGTAAACCAATTCCGCCATAACCGTTTCTTTCTGGAGTACCATCAGCACTCCGTCTCGAACACATAACACTCACTCCTAGACGAGCCAACACTGCTTGCCTCCTGGATGCTTCCCCCGGGCCAGATAACGGGATGCACAGGTTGGTTGCATGTCCCGCTTTGCGTGAATGGCCACAATTAACCACAGTCAGAGTATTAAACGAAAAACCCAAGGCTGCTCTCCGATCCCTGCCGGATCTTCGCAGTGAGCCTTTTTGTCCGCAACCTGCAACGGTCACGGTGCGAATTCGATATAACAAGCACTGGCTCCCAGTGCAACCTCATTAGAAGTTATGAAACACAGACCTGAAGAAATTGGAAGTGGTTGCTACTGAGACATCCCCTTGTGAATCAAGAAAGTGACCAAACACACCTGCCACAAAACTAGCGAGTAGACATAAAGGACTTTGAGAAATCACTGTATGAGTTTTTGCGCCACTAGATAATAAAGATTGCAAAAAAACGAAAACACATTGTTCTACGAATAGGTGCGAATTGAACGTAACTCACCACATTGTTCTACGAGGTAGGCACCCCCAACTTAGTGCTGATTGGGCGGACGGTTATATGCAAGGCATCTGCCATGGAGATGAGCCCGGAGCTGTAGGTAAGTGTCCAACCCAAAATCCTTAGTTGCAGAATAGTACGACGGCTCCCAGCGTCAACCATGACCAGGCATTGCCGTGTCTGCACGCCAAAATATTCAAAATAATTCATCTTCTTAAACTGCCACTAGGCCCACTACCTTTCAGAGGCAAAGGCTAAGTCGTAAATATAACCTATACCAGGGTTGCATACCTGCCGACCGCCGATCCCGACCGCCGACCGTTTTGCAGCCGATCAGTAGGGGCGACAGGTCGGCGGTCTGCCGACCAGTCAGAAAACAGCCAGCCACTGTTTTTTTTTTCATATCTGAGTTGGGGCTGCACTGCGCTTGCTGAGTACTTGTTAAAACAACCCGGTTGTGTGCTAGTTCCTGTCATGACATGGAGTATGAAAGCTCTGTCGCTTCTGTAGTACATCTTCTGCTTTCATGAAGTTTCATCCACTCCGCTCTGTTCTTTTTTTTTGTTTGAAGAAACGAGCATCCTTTATTATAGCTGCAAACCGATCTGAAAACTGGGTTCAGCGTCCCCCACATCTTAACCTCACTCTACGCCTTCCTCCGTTACGACCGAGGAATTCTGACTCAGCGGCATTGATTGCTGCATTGAAGGAAGGGGTGAGCTTTGAAAAATTATTATCCCTGAAGGATTACCCGTCCCTTGTTCCTGCGCTGGTCACTTCTAGAGGCGTGCATTTTCACTGAGGTTTGGCGTGACTCTGGATCACCATTTGCCTCCGACCTGTCCAGGTGCTGGTCACTTCTAGAGGCGTGCTTTTTCACTGTGGTGATAGTTCCTGCGGAGGCTGATCGAGCACACATGGTTAACAGGGGTTGTTATTTTTGGCGAATTTTGCTTGTGGTGAGGCTGTGACAATGGCAAAATTTTTGGCCCTCTGTTAACTAACCATCTCTCCGGTTTAGGATGTTGTTTGTGCTCTTTAGAACTGCTTTTGTTCCTTTTTTTTCCCTGTCTATTTTTTTTTTTTTTTAAATGTTTGTAGTACTTCGTACTATGATCGCATATCGTTTGTTTCCAAAGTTCCCAACAATGTTGCTCGTGGTGGCGCGGGCAAAGCGGCGAATTCTTGGCCCTCCATTGACTATCTCTTGCAGCAGGCCGCGTTGGTGTACAATGTTCGTGCTTGGAATGCACCAAGGTCGCAAATGTCGTACTTGATATAAAAAATACACCACCAGTGGGTTCTGCTTGGCAGTCTCAGGCTGCATCATTCGTGGAGGGAATGCCGTTCGTCCTCTCTTTCGTTTCATCTCTCTCTTCCCGCTTCCTCTCTCTCGGTGCTCCCTTGCATGTGGCATAGCTGTTTTTTAATTTTTTTTTAGCTTTCTAAGTATTTTCTTGCTGTTGCTTGTGAGTGCGGAAGAGTAATACGAGTGGTTTTGCTTTATCAACTGGGTTTGCTGACACAGCTTGTAATGGATGGCACCTGAATTTGTGATTGCAGCTTTTCATACATCGACATGGTAATTCATAAGTCGATGAAAGTTGTTCGTGTGTACATTGGGCACACAGTCATCTGCATGATAGGCATCATCCTGTCGGCCGGACTTCTTTTCTGCTTTGTGGATGGCATCAACTATGCGTTTTCTAGGGAATTTGATCTTCTGGGAGTCCTGCTGCTTGTGAGCATGTATTGGACGATCAATGTCATCCGCTTTCTTGTCGGAGGCATCGTTTTTGGCACTGCCTCCTTGTACTATTACAAAGGCGCGGTGAACATGCCCACTGATCCATCTGCAAAGATCTTTGCTCGAGTTACGTCGACAGTGTTTGGACATATGTGCATTGGAGCATTTCTTGTCCCAATCCTCGAAATCCTGCATTTTGTGGTAAGCTTTGCTAATCTGTTTTTCTCCTCCTCCTCCTCCTCCTCCTCCTCCTCCTCCCCTTCCTCCCCCTCCTCCTCCCCTTCCTCATCCTCCTCCTCCCTGCTGCTGCTGCTGTTTTAGTTGGAAAACTTATGAATGGAATACGGCTTGAGAATTCCTTACACGACATAATTATACAGCGAAATGGAAGCCCGGAAAAAAAATAAAATAATAAAGATAAAAATAAAAAACCTGCACGATTCCACACAGGCACCCCCCGCACAGAACTCCGCATGAATGTGCGGCTCGTGCGGTTGCAAGTATGCAAGTAATCGATAACAAGGGAAAAAAAAAAAAAAAAAAAAACGGAAACGGGAATCGGCGTACTAATCGCAAATCGCAAACCAGTTGTTTGATTGGGGGTCTGGATGCATAGATCCTTCTTGCCTTGTGATAGTTTACATGTGATTGTCCGTATACCGATGTTTCGCAGAAAAAAAACTCAAATATCATAGTAAATCCTTCAGCAGTCATTGGAATGAGTTGGGGGCGTATGACAGGAAGATGGGGATATGGCGAGGAGAGGGGAATATGGAGAGGAGGAGGAGGATGTGGACGAGGAGGACGACGAGGATAGGGAGGACGACGAGGAGGAGTAGTCGAGATGGGGAGGAGAAGAGATGGAAGGAGGGAAAATAGGAAGGGCAGGAGGAGGATGAGTGGGAGGAGGAGGAGACATGGACGGCGAGGAAGGGGAGGACACGAGGAAGGGAAGGAGACGAGGAGGCATGGAAGATGAGGAAGTACGAGGAGGAGGAGGAGACAAGGAGGATGAGATAGGGCAGGATGATGATGATGATGATGATGATGATGATGATGATGAGGAGGAGGAGGAGGAGGAGGAGACGAAATGGAGAAGGGAGGAGGAGACATGGAGGATGAGGAAGGGGAGGAGCAAGGTGAGGCAGTACTCCTGTTTTTTTTTATTTTCATCTCGCTTATAATTGTGGCAGGGGGCCTCAAACGCATCGTTTTGACCCCGGACTTTTTTTTTTCTGAGGGGGGTGACGGGTCGTTCCCCGCACATGTCGTGCGCCGCACGGGATCGGTTGGGCGCGTGCACCGCACGTAGGGAACCGTCCGCACAGCGTGCGCTTGCAAGTATGATTACTTGTCTTTCCAAATTTCACGTTGTCAAGTTACACAGAGAAGTCCGAACTGAGGCAATGTTTTAGGTCATATATTGTTATTATTATCCCCACTCTTACAGAAATCCCAGATGTCATAAGCTGGCGATCTGGGCTGTGCACTGGCCGATGGACCAGATTGCCAGCCAATCACCAATGTTTAAGACCAGCTGGTGATCTAGCCCGTTTGTGCTGCCCGGCGAACTAGACCGCCAGCTGCACCTAATGCGTTGCACCAGTGGTTAACGGGGTATACCGTTTTCAACTTTTCATTGCTGAAATCATGTTTTTTTGGCCTTTTTTTTTTTTTTTTTTTTTTTTTTT